TCTGTAGTAGACCCCCACCGTCAAATCCCTCTCCACCTGCCCCCCCAATAATATACCCAAACCCCCATAACATTCTTACAGTAAGAGAAGTGCTATTACAGTCCTCTTTAAACCTGAATTCAACAAACTTAGTGCTAACAAAATAGCAGCCAGGTTGAAGTATTTTGTAGGTTCATAGAATACATCCAGACATGATACAAACAGTGTAGGATAGTCAAATGGCACTTTATTTCTGTGCATGACACAGCACATTATTATTTGAAATCACATATATGGCATGTTACATCTATATTTACACAGCATTTTACAAACATAGGTAAGAAGAAAGTATGACAGAAAGAAAACAATTACAGTGTTTGTTTATTTTAATTTGTAAAGCATAGTTGTTCAATCCATTGGCTCCTGATCCTACGCTTTGGAAACAGCACTTTCAAATTTATACTCATCAAGATGTTAGACATAATAATTATGGAATAACAGAGTGGGTTGGTCTATTTATTTATGGAGGGATGAGCAACCCCAAACATTTGGAATCCCTGTAAGACTTCCCAGATATTCAAATGCCTTCCTTCCCACACATCTGAGATGCATGAGAAGACTTGCCGAGCACAAGGCAAAGTTAATCAGAGCAAGAAATGCCTAAGGGGCACCCAAGTGGTTTAGCAATGGTTGAAAATGAAGGAAAAGAGAAATCTCAGGGACATAAATAAAACCATTGGACAGGGCCAAAAACCAGATGATGGTAGTAAGAAATACTTGATGCTGAAGCTACAAGCCTGGGAGACAAAAGTATGTGTGTGTGCACCATCCAACACAGCAGCCTCTCACACGTCAGTAACTTTAGCCATGCCACACTCTTCTATAAAGAGCATCTCAAATGGTTAACTTAGAAAATATGCTGGAGTCGTAAGTGTTAGGTACCAACAGTAGAGCAGAGGCTTGATACAGTTGATGTTTCTTAAGCAACACATTGTCATCAACGGCTGTTTAGCCCTTAATAAAATCTCAGTGAAGACTTAACTTGTTGCACCTTTCCAACTGTCAGAAACAGCCTCTGGTAAGTTGTCATCAAGTTTCTGGAAATTGAAAAGTCTCTTTCACTATTATTACTACTACTTAGGCCCAGTTCCACTCCTTCCCCGCCCAGCATTGGCTCAGAGCCTGCTCCTCCTGTCCTCCCCCCACTATCACCAGGTTTTCCCGGGCCTACTGCTCCCCTACCATGATGGCCCGGTTTCTTCTCACCCTTGGGCCTGGTCCTCCCCTGCATTGGGTCTAGGCTTGCTCCTCCCCTTCCCCCACCACCACCGCTGCCATGGCGCACCCGCTATTCCTCCCACCGCTGCCCCATCGGGCCCTGTAAGCAGCAATGATGGAAGGGGGGAGGGGCAGACCAAAGCCAGAGCTGGTGACCTGCTCCCCCCCCAGCATCCCAACCCAGCTGTCCCCCCGTGCTGCTGCCACCATGACCTGTAAGGAGTAAAGTCGGGGTGAGGTCAGCTCCGGTGTCCTTGCCCTCCCCTGCTCCATCCACTCCATTGCCCCTGCCTCCAGGGAGCAGGGCGTCCCCCCATTCTCTGTCCCCCCATCCCTTGTGTCCCCACCATCATGGCAACATTCAACTGCTACTAGCTCCAGTTGGAACGCTTGTTTGCACTCTGATTGGCTGTTTGTTAGAGGGTGGGGACAGAGTCCTGTGCTCCCTCCCATCCAGACCCACACCCCCTTTACCTCCTGCTGTTTGGGGTCTGGGCCTGCTCCCCCACCCTTCCCGCTGCCCAAATGCATATCCCTATGGGCCTTCTCCAGGTTATAATGCCAACGATGATTCTGGTTATAATTATTACTACTATCACTGTTAATATGATGCTTATTACTAAGGGCATTCTCAGGATTGCTATTATGATGGTCGTTAGCATGGCTACAATGATGACTGTTATGATAACTGAGTTATCATTGAATATTATTATTCAGTCCGTGTTTCCCCTTCCTAGCGGCAAGGGGAAGAGGGGCAAGGAGGCGGCAGCGTCCAGGGGAAGCAGCCAGCGGAGAGGATGCCGCAAACACTCTCGCACAGAAAATGCAACAGACAAAGCCGGAGAAGGGGGCATGCCTGCGACAGCTCCGGTGTGTCGAGGGCCGCACACCACTCCACCTGGCCCGGCCCACACTCACTGGCCACACCACAGCCCGAGCCAGCTCCGGCCGGCAACGCCATTTCCATGCTAACCCCCCCACCCCACACACACACACGCAAACACACTTCCGGGATTGCATCCTTGCAAGAACGGCCACTTGCTGCGGGGCGATGCCATCCATGGGGGGAGGGGGGGCCGATTCAGGCCGGCTGCTTTCAAACCCTCTGGATTAAGTCTCTGCCCCCGGTTGCTGGGGAAGAAAACCTGCACAGAGAGAAGTAATCTGTG